GCTTCCACTCCCAGCCTCCGAGTGCAACCCCCTGCTCCCTCCCACCACTGGGCATTCTCCATGCTCCAGGGCGTCTTTACAAGAGGCCAAGTTGCTCCAGCTCCCACTGGAGACAGTCCCTGCTGTGCGGGCAGTCCCTTCCTTCCCATCTCAGCCCTGCTCTCCTCTAGCAAGGGCAAGACAACCTCACAGGATGCTGGAAAGTGGTTTCTGGCTCCACCCAGGCCACGTTCCAAGCCTCTGTTCTTTACAAGAGGCCAAGTTGCTCCAGCTCCCACTGGAGACAGTCCCTGCTGTGCGGGCAGTTCCTTCCTTCCCATCTCAGCCCTGCTCTCCTCTAGCAAGGGCAAGACAACCTCACAGGATGCTGGAAAGTGGTTTCCGGCTCCACCCAGGCCACGTTCCAAGCCTCTGTAGTCCCCTAGACCCCACAGCATGGGAGATGAATTTGGCATCAGATGCCAAATGACAAGAAACTGCTGACGCAGGCCCAAGGCTTTGCAGGCCCTGCCAGGGTGATGGATGTTGAGTTTCCATGTGAAATCTAATAGAAAGTCCATGCATAATACATCTTTATGGGAGCAAGTTCCAATTTGCATCCCATTAGGCAGTTGAAGTCTCAGAGGCTCAGCAAGGCAGCTCAGGCCTTCCTTCAGAAGGAACCCAGAGCAGGGAGGTGCCTGTGCAGTGGAGCCGGACCCCACCAGGGGTGCAGCATCCCCCACGATAGGACTGACGTCGGGGTGGGGCTGTGTTCTCCCATGCACTGTCCCTTGGTGCTGTCTCAGGAGCTCCTGGCTTGACTGGGCCGCTCCTGTCATTTCTCTGCCTCCACCTCCATGTGCTCTTCAAGCAAGATCAAAGGAGAGCCCTGAATTCTTGGGGCAGCTGTAATTAGTATTCACTGCCCTGCTGTAGGTCAAGCATAGGGAGGCAAATAATGTGTGCCTCAGTTTCCAAAGTTGCAAACGGTTCCTGAAGAGGGGAAGGGCCCCTCCGGGTAAGGAGCGGGTGCTCTTGGGCAGTGAGAGGTCCCATAGTGTTGCAGAGAGTGCTGAACTGGGGGCCCGTGGATTGGGCCATTCTGGCTCTGCCACCTGCTGCACCAACCACCTTTCTATCCCATGCACTCAACCTCTCTGAGCCTCAGTGTCCTTCTCTGTGAAAGAGACACTGTTCCCTGCCCTGCAGAGCTCTGTGCATATGGGAAAGTGAACTTGAGACTTTACAGTGCTGCAGTAGTGGGAAGGGCACTCCCCAGTCCCCTGAGATGGGGGTGGGGGAGGTGGGATTGGACCTGAGACTGTATGCTAGGGTGGGTAAGGGAAGGGGGAGACTGAATCTCGTTCCTGGTCCTGCAGCCCTGGATTCTGACTTCTGACTCCCCCTCCTTTGCCTAGGCTTCGGCTTCCTCTGAAGGCTGGCGGGCAGGTTAAGTGCACGGCAGTGAAGGTTTGAGAGGTGGGGGTTTCAACTGAGAGTGTACTTTGGGTTTCCTTTCAGGGCAGAGCAAGTCTGGGAGAGAAGGACCCTGAGCAGGGGTCAGTATGGCTCGACTGGAGCCCTTGGTATTTGAAGTGCAGAAAAGAATTCTGAAAAACTGGGAGAGGACCAGGCTGGGGCTGGGTGGAGTGGAATTTGGTCAACGAGAGCCCTGCAGAGGACGGGCTGAACTCGTGGCTCCACAGCAGAGTGGTAATGCCCTCTGCCAGAGACTGGGGACTGAGGCTACCCCCAGCCAGACCCCTAACAGTGCTTCAGAGGCTCAGGCCACAGGCCACACCAATTGCCCTCCAAAGAGGTCTCCGCCTGGTTCTTAATTGGGAGGGGATGTGTTTGTGGAGACAGGGGTATCTGTGCCTCAGAACAGAGCCCCTCCGTGGGCTCCACCCGGTCCCTGTTTGGCCCTCGGCCCTGCTGGCCGCTGGCCTTTCCTCTGGGGCTCTGCAGCCTCCCATTGCCCCGCCCCAGGTCCCCAACAGGCCTCAGCAGTTCTGTGGGGCCTTCCCTCCCAGGGGCCAGGTCGACTGGCACTCTCTATACCCAAGCTCCCAAGTTTCTCCCTGTAGTTCACAGAGGGGCACAGGGCTGTGGTCAGTGCATCAGGCCCAGGGCAGAGTCGTCCTGCTGGTATGTGCATGCCACTGCTGATGTGGCAGGACAGGGAGTGGGGTGGAAGGGAACGCCTCGTCCAGCAGCTCTTGATCTGTATGGACTGCTCAGTTTACGTGGTGCTCACTGAAGCAGAGATTTTGTGATTGTCTAACAATGTAGGGCCCCAAACACGTTGCAGTTTTTCCTACCAATTATTGGGGTATCACAGGGGAAAGCATGTAAAGCGTTGGAAGGTATCATTTGGATAATACACCCTGACCTGTAGGGATATGTCCGTGGGGGGATGAATGTCCCAGTGTATCTCCAGTGATGACCAGTCCACAAAGACAGACTGAGATCACTGAGTGATTTAAGGCTCTGGAAGGTCCAGCTGCGCTTTAGTTTTCTCTCTTGTAAAATGCTGCTTCAAGGAGTCCCACAATTTTCTTGGGGTAGTAAAAGGAGACAATAGAAACAAAAGGATAAGGTTAAGGAAAGGCACAATGGAGCTTTGAGCGAGCTGTATATACCGTGAAACTTGAAGGCATAATGTTATCGTGTTTGTATAACTTATCGTAACAGTCCCTGCTGCATCAGCCGACAATGTGGAAATAATCTATTGCTGGGACAGGAATGTCATACGATATGGCACTTGTCTAGATGTACTGCCTATGTGAGTTGATGCCAGAGTGTGCTAGGTCCTGATACCTAAAAGATGGGCAGTGAGTGTCTGGAAACCTCTCCAGTTTCCAGAGGGATAGCAGCTTTTACTACAAGAGTTTCTCAGGTTCCATAGTTACCCTAGAGCTGTTCTGCCAGGAACATGCATTGTTTTATTTTTTTAAATAGGTTTTGTAATGTTCCTACCAAGACTTTTGTGCTTCTGTCAATAACCTCCACAGTAATTATCCATATTCTCCAACAGACAGACTGTTTGCTCAGTTGGACAGGATTTGTCAATCTGCTGTTACAGCTCAATCCAGCACATTGTGTGGTGGTTATTTTACAAAGCATGCTTCGGTTTGTGCGATCGTATTGCACGAATCCATTTGTCAGCTCACATTTGAGGGCTGGCTACTGCTGCGTAATCACCATATACCTGTTTTCAAGATCCACCGCAGACAGGGTGGCACGCCTCCCAATTACGCCTTCAATCGTTTTGTTGGTTGGTTATTAGTTTTCATTTCTTAGGTGCCCGTCATAAAGTTTAGTGGTGAATGCATGATCCTGGATCAACTAAACAAACATTCAATCCTGACCACACGTCTCACTTTATTTCAGTCACAAGCCAGACGTTGCTTCATCCGTGCGATTTTACCTAAGCTGCTGCAGTACTTGCTGAAGCTTTTCCGGGTGTCTTGTTTACATTCGTTACTTTTTGTTTTCTTCAAAGTTTTTCTAACAGATTTGGCTGTTCAGTTTTCAGGTTTAATGCAAACCTGCTATAATTTTCACAGACCAGCCAGGTTGCTACGATACTCACTCAAGACTCGCCTCGTTTTGCAGTCGTGGAGCGGTATCCGCTGTCAGCGTGAATTACTTCCTTTCCACCTGAGAAACAGGGAGGCTTTCGATAGGAGCATTTGCACAGAGAGTTACTCATTAACACTTTGATAGTCTATACAACGTCTGCTGTCAGACCATTTTATAACCGGGAACATGTTAGGACAGACACAACAAATGGTGGTCTCAACAAATGGACTAAGTCTCATTGCCAGTGTTGGACTAGACGTTTTCATCAGCTCTTCTCTACTGTCTTAGTCATCTAGATGGTGTCTACTGTGTGCACAGAAGTGTGCTGATGTTGGGCATGTAAGGTAAACAGAGGCCCAGCAACTGGCTACACATCTGCTGGGACAGATGGACAAGGCCGCAGATCACCTGCGCACATGTCTGGGTGCTTCATCTGACTGTTGTGGAGGCCCAGCTACCCCCTCGTAGGAGAACCCCAAAGGCTGCACGTCCCTTTGGGCAGGGACTAAATCTCCACCTTTTTCCCCAATAAAACCTTCCAGTTTATTATCACTGGTGGTTTAAAGTTTCTCCTTGTACCAAATTTTCAATCATCTGAATGAGTGATTTCTGTCTGAGGTGGGGGCATAGAGGGCATGTCAAATTGGGAGGGTGCTGTGCAGTTTGAAAAAGGTATTGCTATATTATGCCACGATTTAGTATTTACAAAATTAAAGAAAAGAGCGTACTACTTTCAGAGCACCACTCAGAGGAAGTAAACCGCCTTCCAGGAGGGTGGAGAGATGTAGATTCAGTATCAGTTATTCTTGCAGGAAGGAGGGGCACATGGTCTTTATCACAAGTTGTTCTTTCACTATTTGGTTCAGTTTACATTTCTTCTTGGCAGAGTCCACCTGTGCCAGGGAGCATGGGGGCCTGGCCGACTTGTCAGGTATCCCTAATGGATTTGGAAAGGAACCATCTTCTGGCAGATGGAGAAGCCTAGGGAGGCAGCCCTGTGCCAGTGCTGGGTATCTGTCGCGTTGCCTGCTTTGCAAGATAAAGCCTATCCCTACACCTCGTCTTTAAAGATGGGAGAAGCCACAGGAGAGTGGGTGGCTGGTTCCTTAGCTCTCAAGGCAGAGACAATTTGATTTACAGAGTAGGAAATAGCACAGTGAGGCCAGGGGGAAAAGGAAAAGAAAAAAAAAAATCACCCCCAGACAAACAACCTGAATACAGAGAGGATTCCTTGGGAGAGGGGGGCTGGGGGGAAAGGCAGCCTTGTCCCCGGGGACCAGCTCAGACGCCGCGCCAGGTTCAGTGAAGCCGTTAGTAACCTGAACTTGGTTGCCTGTTTCTCGGCCCAAGCTCATGCATTATTTACCTGGCGTAAGTAAACCTGCTTCTTCCACCGTTGCTGGGGAGACCACTTTGATTGATCGAGTTCTGGTTTACTCTCCAATGGAAATGCTCCAGAATCGGAGGGAGGAAGGGGGCGATACCGGGTCCCAGGGGCTCAGGGTGCGAATCCCTGCTTCCCCCTGTGGAGAGCCCAACCAGGAAGGAAAGTCGATTTTGATGCTGGGAGCCCCGGTGTTGTCATTTCCTGCTTCTCCAGGTGCCCGTCTCTCTACTGCACCCCCTCCAGGAGGAGGGGGCGTATGGAGCAAGGTGTGCCTTTCCGGAGGCCCTGGTGAAGGCCACTTGCTGGTGTCCCACTGGCTGCCTGCAGAGAGATACACATCAGTTTGCGCAGGGCAGGGAGAGGGCGGGAGTCAGGTTCCCCAGAGGCTGGTTCCCGGGGGAATAGGCCTGTCCTCGGGAAGCCAGCTCCAGGCCAACTCCATAAGCACAGCTAAAGTGGCCCTCTCTGCCCCAAACTTGCTTTAGCTCATATTTGGGGATTGTCGTCATCAACAAGACAGCTGTGGTGGCTTAGAAAGAGTTTGGGACAAGGGGTGGGGACCTTGGGATCCAATGTCCATGCTTTTCTTTATAAATTGAGCAAGTTAAGTCATCTTCCTGACTCAGTCCCCCATGTGTGGAAGACGGATACAGTGTCCGCCTCAGAGTGCCTTGTGGGGACTGCTCGGCAGTGCCCTGGAGCACTGTCCATGCCCAGGCCCCATGACACCACCCGTTTCCCTTCCTTGCCAGCAAGATCGAGACATCGCAACGGGCTCCCTTCCTCCTCTTTGCTGCGTATTGATTTTTCCTTTCCTTCCTTTGTTCTATTTGTGGCTCCCCAGCCCCTCATAATTGCATTATTTCTTAAGAAGTGCACCTGGCGAGGATGTCTGTTAGTACAAAGCCGCGTCCCATGCTGCTGTCCTGGTTCCGACCATGTCGCACCCCATGAACAGAGGTCACCTTGTGGAGCCACTTGCGTTCCTTAGGGGTTCTCTGCTTCTTGGGGGAGGAAGCTGCTATCTGTCAGGTGAGAGCGATGGCCTCTGTCAGTGCAGACCTGTGACATATCAGCAAGGTACTTGCAACCATCCATGAGTTTACAAATTATTTAGCCATAAATTGGTGAGCTTTGAGTTTTTTTCATAAACCACAATGAAATAATGATGAAAGGGGAAAAAAAAATCCTAGATATCACTAACACAACTGTTTTTAGCAACATCTTTCTAGATTTTTTTGTCCTCCTGGGGCTATTTCATTACATTCAGGCTTGTGTTTAAGTCGGTACTTAGCTACTATAGAGATTAGAATATAGGTGCTAATTATACTGTTCAAATTTCTGCTTTTACAGTAGGTGCTAAATATCCCCAAGTGACCTAGTTTCTCTCCACTTAAGCCAGTTCACGGGCTCCAGGCCTCTTCACTTTCTGTTTTCTCTTTCTGAAATGCTGTACGGCCAGGAAATCTACGTGTCACCGAACCCGTCCCAGATCTTCTGACTTCATTCATCCAAAACCGTTTCCAAGGGGTGGATGTTCCAAACTGGCTTCTTACAGAGACTTCTAATTTCTTCTAAAGTAAAGGGTGAACCGACAAAGAAAACATGGCCATCTCACAAACCTCTTTTGGCAGCAGGCGCTTTTCTGAGAGGAATAAGGAAAAATTCCTCCCTGAGGGAGGGGCCAGCCAAAGGGAGAACAGAGAGGAGCGGTCTAGGCCAGGCCTTGAACTTGAGCGTGCGTCAGAAGGCACGGATTGCCCTGCTGCCCTCAGCTTCTGATTCAAGACGTCTGGGTGGGACTGGACAATTTGCATTTCCAATGAGTTCCCAGGAGATGCTGATGCCTCCTGGGCTGCAGGAGCCACACTGTTCAAGGCAGAAAGGACAGCAAAGGCTTGAGGCAGGAAAGAGCTTGCTGGGTCAAGGACAAGAAAGGAGTCGAGTGTGGCTAGCGGGCAGTGAACAAGAGACTAGAGAGGTAGCAGGGACCGCACCATGAGGCTTGAGGCAGGAAAGAGCTTGCTGGGTCAAGGACAAGAAAGGAGTCGAGTGTGGCTAGCAGGCAGTGAACAAGACTAGAGAGGTAGCAGGGACCGCACCATACAGTGGGGACACACACACACAAGCATGCACATGTGTGTGCACACACAGTTTGAAGTGGGGAGAGGGGGTGGTTAACGATCTGCTTTTGCAATGGTTATTTCATTTGATTCTCCTCACAGTTACTACACTGCTGGTTCTGTCTTTGGTCTCTATCGCCCCATCACCTTCCCCAGAGGACATGCTGGGTAAACGTTATTATGTGCCAGACATCCTGTACTAAGCTCATTTATAAGCGCGATATCACTTAATCCTCTTAATGACCCTGTGAAGTGGGAACTGTTATAATCCCGTTTTACAGACAAAGAACACTGAGGCACACATAACTAGGAAACAACAGGCTGGTTCCTGGTAATGCAGGAGCTGGCCCTTAGCCTCTCCCTGTGCTGCATCGTCTACTCCCTTCTGCCCCCCTTATGCACAAGTGAACAGCCTTGAGAGGCAGTGGGGTCAGATAAGACTATCATCGTCATTTAAAAGATGAGGAAAGTAAGTGCATTAGTGTTGCTATAACAGAAATACCCGAGACTGGGTAATTTATAAAGAACAGAGGCCTATTTGGTTCACTATTCTGGGACAGCTACATCTGGCGAAGGCCTCAGGCTGCTTCTACTCATGGTAGAAAGTGGCAGCAGCGGGTATAAGCAGATCACATGGCGAGAGAGGAAGCAAGAGAGAGAGAGGAGGTGCCAGGGTCCTTTAAACACAATCAGGTCTCGCGGGAACTAATCTGCAAGAACTCACTCATTACCCCCCACCTCCAGGGAGAGCATTCATCCATTCATGAGGCATCCGCCCGCATGACTCAATCAGTTTCCAGCACTGCCACATTGGAG